TCCAAACTAGGACTGATGGGTATTTTTATAAACATTCTGCCATCGACCCTAAACACGCACTCAAACAAAACACATAGCCAGAAAACACGTAAAGCAGATCTCTATACAATAAAAAAACCACGTCCTTCAAAAATCGGAACAGAGAACCTAGAAACTCGCTACCGAGAACCATTCTCAAATTTGTCGGCATGCCTATACGACCTGTTTAAGAAGCCAAGGCATGACAAATTTCTATTATGTGAGAAACATAGAACATTTCTTAGCATAACGGGGAACCTGCAGGGGCTTTGCCGTACAACATGGTTGTTAATATTTTCAAAAAAGTTTATACTCATTTTACCACATTGTTTTTCTGTGTTTTTTGGCAAGAGGAAACACGAACGGCAATTTTAGAAAATAATTGGAGGAACATCCCCCAAATTGACCGACTAACATTTTTAATGAATAATTATTTTAAAAAAGAACGATTCACTTATCACTACTACTAGTGTTTTAAAAGAGTTTTTTTTTTAAACAATTGGTTTTTTAAACAGCAATATCTCACTGGCACTCTCAACAAGACACGCAAGAATGGCACAATTACGCAGAAAACAAACCGTTTGAGGGAGTAGAAATTACTTTGATTGAATATAAAAAAATATTTTTTTTGCATTGTATAAATTCACTTTTTTCCACATCCTATATGTAATTGTTAAATTTGAACAATGTTTGTTAATCCCAGAACCTGAAGATGATCTGAATAAAGATCGAAACGTTGGCCCGATAAAGAAAATGTTTTCTGAAATCTACATCACACCAGACCGCATCTCACGATTTCGAATAATCATAGACTAACAGTCACTAATCACCACAAATTTATTTTATTGTTTATTTATTTTATATTTGTACAGGTATTTGTCAAAGAGTACAAAGCGTATTTGCGCCTATGCAAAACAAAAATCTGAAAGACAGAAATTTTATAGAAAGGTACTGTATAATGTTGATGTATATGTAGCTACTTAAGCGACACGGATTTGTTAAATAGTTTCAAAAATCCATTGTGATCAAAGAGGTCGACGATGATGTTACGAATCCGATGTTAAAAGGGTTTCTTTCTCCAAGAAACGGAGTTCCAGAGGTCAACTCCCTCTTACAACACTATCTGAACCCCAACTTCACGCTCGATCAAACACCAAACTGCTTTAAATAGCATTATGAATTTAGCACGTGTGATTTACTTGTCTATAGAAGCTTGGAAATATCTTTTAAATACGGAATTGCATCGGAAAAACCGGTTTCGTGATTAATCTTGCACCAAATACAAATACGTCTAGATCATGATGAGAAAAATTGGGGCTTTTAAAGAAAACTTTTAAAACAGCAACTAAAAGTGCCTACTTGCATGGATTTGACTATTGAGGTAGGTAAAAATGTAAAATTATTATAAAGAACCCGATCAGAAAAACAAAATGTCTACTTTTCCTTTATTGTCAAAGATCTAGTTAACTGTAACTGTTCTCCCATACCAATTACAAATAATACTAAATATTTAGGATTTATATTAGACTCTAGGTTAAATATTAAGTCACACATTGATTCTTTGGTTAAGCGACTGAGAAAACTTTTTTTACAAATTCAGTGTATTAAGAAAGATCCTAAATGTAAAATTGTTAAAATCAGTTTATTACGCTTTGGTTCATTCTATAATTTGCTTTGGAATTGTTATTTAAATCTATTAATCAAAACTCAAAATTCTGTTTTGAGAACTTTTCTTTCTAAACCTTTTAGATTTAATACAAATCAACTATATGGTATTTTTCAGGTTCTAAAATTTAAACAATTATTTTTAAAATGTTCTTGTATGTATGTCTTTAAAAATAACCTTTTCGCTGAATCAAACAATGAGTATCAAACAAGACAAAAATAGTGACTAATATTTTTATATCCAAAGTAAACACCAATTTTTCATTGATCGTTGTTTTTAGGTTTCTTTATAATCACAAAATTAATTTTAACAAATTTAATTCGTATTAGGATTTCAAAAAATGTATTACTGTAAAACTTTTAAATTTATAATTTGAACTTTCTTTGTGGCATATTTGGCATCATATGGCAATTATTTTATCTTTATTCGAATTTATTGCATTTTATATTATTTTTGTTTTCTCGGTTCATTATTTTGTTTTTTCTTTCATTTATTTGGTCTCATACACCTTCTCAGTCCTTTTGTTTTAATTTTTAGCAATTTTGTTCACTGACGTAATTCCTGCCATCTGTTACAAGCACTGCTTTTAGGTGGCAGGCGAAAATTTGCAGATTGGTTAAATGACTGACCTTTACTTATTATTTTATCCTTAATTATTTTTTCTCTATTTATGTTTTATCTTACTGTAGGACTTTTCGCAAATAAATGTACTATTTCTATTATTATAGCTATATCATAACCTAGTTTTCGCTCTATTAACTTACACATGTGATATAATATTTGATACGTATCATTGCCTGAAGACACCGCCAAAATCACATTTTTTAAGCCGTTATCTGGTATTTTAGTACAGGTAAATTAAAACGAGTTCAGCGATTCTAATCATAATAATATGCTGACGATGAGTTTTGAAATTATATTAAATGAGCTACACTTCGCATGTATATAAAAAAATTATCATAGCGTGAAAGATATCTATAAAGTAAGAAAACCGAATTATCTCCTCTGTAATGGGGATATTGCTGGCTTATTTTTTTTCATACAGGATTCAAATCGATGTGGACTGCCTATAGAAGATAAGACCCGTAGTCAACAATTTGAAACTGGAACGGTGAAAATATCAATTTCGCAAAATATCCGACAATTGTGCATGGGAAGATAACGCAGAATCAAAACGGACCGAAGAAAGTGTTAAAAAATAAAGAATTATAAAGAAAAATTAGAAAAAAATCAACAACAGCATTTGATGATTCACCACGTTGATAATTATTTTTGCGTATCTGCACATTTTAGATTAATGATGTTAGCAAATGAATCCTGATAAATGTATTTATGAATAATAAACTACGGATGCCCAACCTGAACAAACACGACTGATTCTTTTGTTCTAAAAACCCTTCCACGTTATGGACTTTTGAAGAAGAAAAAAATATTTTAAGACCGAACGAATCAATAACTTGGAATATTCAAATTTAGATGACATCATTATGATGAGGTAATCTCGGTTTCGCAATAACAAGACAGACAGTAGTGTAAATCCACTTTTGTTTTCAACAATCAATTTTAACTATTTTTAGAGTATTATAAATATAAAAATAATTATTAGTGTTTCTACTTGGGTTTTGATAAATTGAAATTTAGGTAGTGAAATGAATAAAGCATTCAAAAGACAAGAGATATTTACATCAAAGAACAATGTCGAAGATGAGAGAAAAATTATAAAATGCTGTAAATTATTTATAAAAAATTATAAAATGCTGTCAATTATTTATATCTATTAATATTTACGCTGGATATGAATGTGGAATATTTCTAGGACAAAAAGGAATCATTTCAATAGATTAGAGAACTTTATGACACCTAAGAAAGTAGGTAATACTACTTTTTGAAATGTATCGTCTAAGATTCAGATTTTTTTATACTTTAAAAGAATGTATTTCGGCATTTGATAATTACAGAAATTTGACATTTCTAGACATTTCCGATACAAGTCAATCGATTTTTTTTAAACTTTCATGCCAAAAAACATCCAATAAACAGGAAAACGCAAATAGTTTTATAAATCCTAAATAACGTTATAATAAATTAAACGAATTTGATAAATGAACTTATTAAAAAACGAAAATTAAAAAAAAAAGGATTGACGACAGAAATAAATTTTTGATATAATATTAGAGTGAAGGTAACCATGCCATTAAACTTGACCCATATATATTTTTTTAATGCAAAGAAAAAACATAAATAACATTAATGTTCGGTGATATTCTGTAAAATTGAAAGACTTTTTTTAAAATAAAGCAAAAAATAGAAAGTTTAACAATGCAAAATTGTGAATAAGGTCAACAATACTCATATTTGAATTACTTGTGGCTACGAGAGGATAAGTTAGGAAGTCGGTCAACTAATAATATCTTTAAAACAGCTTTTTATAAAAATCCAATAGGTAGGCATAGTTTGAATAAGAAAATCAATTTGACTGATCGTTTGGATTGATTCTGTATCCGACCAGCGCAAACCAGAAAAAGGGGTCATAATTGAAAATTAAATATAGTCCAAGTTTGCAGAAATTTCAGAAAAACAAGAAAGGCCTATTTCTTCCAAAAAATATAACTGTACGGCAAAAGTTTGTAAATCTCATATTTTACACGGTTATAGCGTTAAATTTTGAGCTGATTTAATCATCATTCAGAATATTGAATCTACGAGAGAGATCGACTAGTTAAGATCGTTTGGATTTTTCAGGGTGTTTATTCTCTCCCTCTCACTCTCACTCATTCTCCCTCTCACTCTCTCTCTCTCTCTCCGACACACATACGCGCGTAAACGTATGCATATATTTATCCGAAAGAATAGTAATTTTAATTACAGAAAAATCTTTGTGTCGATAAATTTCTTTAGATGCAATATTGAACCATAAATCACAGCTGAAGAAAACCATGGGTAAAAATTGAAATATGTTAGGAATGATTCACCAATTTTGACTGATTAGAGAGTAGGTAGATTGCAATCAGTTGGCTAGCTAACTTAAAAAATGTGATTCAGAACTTCACAACAACAGAAACAGTAAAGTACGAACAAATGACTTACTTCAGGCCAAAGAATTTTAGCCAAATAAAGATATTGCAAACTTTGAACAAAGACTGCGTAGAATTCAGGTTGTGAAAAAAATCACAGCATTGCAAGAAAGGCGTGTTTCTCGGGTCTAGCGAAGAGAGAAGAATATTTTTAGAAAAAGGAATCCGGATTTGTAAAGTGTCGCTTGTAGATTAATCCAAATCGGAGAAGTCGATAAACACAAACACAAACACAAACACACCTTAGAATCACTGAACTCGCTCGGCGCAGGCGCTCCCGTTGGTTGAAGCAGACTGAATTTGCTTGGGACGAGTGTGAGTTGGCCTGGCGCGAGTGGGGACGACCGACCTGCATGCCTCCCTCTAGTTCTTTCAAGATCCCCAGTCCCTCTTTTCCGTTTATAAAATTGCCTAGAGGTGCAATAAAACGCATACTTGGCCGTTAAGAAGAACCGAGAGGAAGTTAAAAAAAAACCTCCATCCTATTTAGAATTGTATTACTTTCAAGCACTTAACATTAATCTAATTTTTCTGGCTACGTAGCAAGCAGAAATAGAAACGAACACGCTTGGTGAATTGTTAAGATGTTGAAATCTAAAATCGATTACCTGGAGTTGCAAATTGTTTCCAAAGCCTCTTCATATATACAATGATCAAAAACCTCAAAGATTAATTAAACGTCAGGACATACCAACATATACGTATCCAAAGGGTTTGCTATTTTAAGTTGAAGATGTTCTGATGATCCTTTTCTAACAGGATCTAGTTATAAGCAAGAACAAATTTTATATATATGGTTTTTTAAATTTAATATATTCAATTAGAATTAAATAAATTAATAGTGAGGTGTGTATTGTTGTTCATTCAGAAATTTTATATTAAAACTAAGGGATTAGACCGATTTAAAAGAAAACACTCGGTACCTTTGCAGACATTTTCATTAATAAATCCGCTTCATCAGTTAAAATTATAGGCTTTGCTGGAAGAAATACCTGGTCCGACAGGTTGAAAAAATAAGGAGCTTAGCGGGGAAAGCGTGACTTTGTCAGTTGATGTTTAATACGATTATAAAGCGCAATGAAAATCGCTGACAAATCTTGGCAAAATGTGAGCGAAAGTTCGCTAAAACAAAATGTGTTACGAAGTACGGTTTCGACAACATATACTTACGGATAGAGATTGCTTTTCTTTTCTAAATTAAGAAACTCCCATAAACTTTGATGGTTCTGTCAATTTTGAAAATGGCGTAGACGTAATGGGATGAAAGTTATAAGCCCCGGCGGAGGAAAGCGATGATAAAGGATATGAAGAAAGGGAGGCTGCTAATGATCATGCTTCATGATCACTCCTAAGTCCAAACGATCAAAAACGAATAAACTGTTTTAATGTTTTATGCAATTGGGTTCATTTCTTCAGCTCTTTTCCACAATGTTTATTTTTTGTTTATTTAATAATATGTTCTAGGAACAACATTCCTCTAAAAGTAACTAAATGAAAAACTTACAATAAATAATTACATGTCATTTACAAGAAACTAAAATAGACTACTGCATAAGTTTACAAAAATTAAATCAAACTGAAAGTGAGAATAAATTAATTGAAAAATCGATAACACAAGACAACAAAACTAAGAATAAACGAAAGATATAATGTCATAGAAAAAAAAATTATAAAAGAAATTAAAAAGAAACGACATAAGCGCATATGTAAATATTAAAAAAAATATATTTAAAAAACCAAATTAAGCCCAATTTTTTGTAAAACCAATGGTAAACTGTATTTTGGATAAATAGTCATACAATTTGGACATATATATCTGTAAATAACATTTACAAGAAACTAAAATAGACTACTGCATAACTTTACAAAAGTAAATCAAACTGAAAGTGAGAATAAATGAATTGAAAAATCGATAACGTAAGACAACAACACAAAGATTAAACGAAAGATATAATGTCAGAAAATAAAAAATAAAATTACAAAAGAAATTAACAGAAACTACATAAGTGCATATGTAAATAAAAATTTTAAAAAACAACTGAATTAAACCCAATTTCTTGTAAGACCGATGGTAAACTGCATTTTGCATAAATAATCATACAATTTGGACATAAATGCCTGTAAGTTGTCATATCAACAATTTTCCCAGTTAATGAATTCCACAAAAAGGAATCACGAATTTGAAACTCTTTGAAATATTAATTTCTTTTGTTCTATGTAGAAATTGTTGGATGGGGTTCATGTTTTTCGATCCGAAACAGATTAAAACGATTTAAATTTATAATAAAGGTAGGAGGGAGTTTGAGGTTTTGATAATGCGACAAAAGAAAAAGCAAATAGGTCTTAATCCCTGGGTGCATTTTAACCCAGTCCAAAATTTTTCTTTTCTCTTTAAAATCATGAATTTATCGTAAATAGAAATTCATGAAAAGCTGGGCCTGTTTTCCCAGAGAGGTGAATAAGTATAAAGGAAAATAATCAAAACAAGGAAAAAAAAGTTTATAGAGGTTTTCTAAAGAGTTTGGTTTATGAAAGTGTATTAAACTATAAATTTTAAATCAAAATAAAATTTTGAATCGTTTATTAAAATTGCAGGGTCAGACATCATACATTTCTCCAGTACAAGGATAGATTATGATAATAAAGGTGTAATGATATCAAACTCCACTACTGATCAATTTGGTCTACACGCAATACGGAAAAAGTATTATTTATTTAATTTTTTTAGGTTTTTCCTTAATATATTTGGTCGATAAGTAATTACAATATTTCATAATGTAAATTAGTAGCTATTTAAATGTTATAAGAATATTGTTTTCCGAAAGTAGTACCAACAGACACAGTTATAAATTAAATTACAATCATGATGCAATATGCAAAATACAGATTTTTTGAAAATCTCTAATACAGTCTAATTTAACTATTTTCTATCTTTTGAGAGCCGGAAAAGGGCTGATAAAGAGAACTTGAGAGCCGGTTTTTAGAACTCAGATAAGGGGTACAAATTCTTTGAAAAGATTGCTGATGATAGAACTGCCTAGGCAACAGATTAAATGTATGTGTAAATTGAATGAAAAATTGAAATAATACCTATAAGGAAAAAGTTACACTAATTAATGAATAATGTAGAAATTAAGACAGTTTGAGATAGCTAATCCTTCAAATTTGTTTCCCAAACAATATTCATTTTCCTTTGTATACTAATACTAAGTTATTGTTAATGCATTTCTGATTGAAAAAATTGAATAAAACAATGCACGGGTACCACCTCGTTAGGTTAGGTTTATAATAGGTTTCTGTTACTCTCTGTAGGAATGGGTTTGAATTTTCTGTAATATTGATTGAATTAGAGCTCTTCATCAAGTGTGACAATTGAGGAAGAAGCTGTATGACCAGTGTGCCCATATTTCAGTAAGAAGGTCCGAAGAAAGGTCTATTAAGTTATAGATGTGTAAGAAAAATCTAGCAAAAGGAAAAATGCAGAGCAGCGCTAGCTATGAGCAATAGGTGTTGTCGTAAAAAAGTGTACTATAACATAATAAACATATGAGCAACATATGTTGTTATGCTATAGTACGTAGCAGTAGCACAGTAGTATATCATGCAAGTAATGATAACTTGCAGTAACAAGTAATAACCCCGGCTTAAGTCCCAATATTTTTTTTTATTAGAAAGTTTTTTGTAGTAGTAGTAGTAGTAGTATTAGTAGTAGTAGTATTAGTAGTAGTAGCAGTATTTTGGTCAGGAAGATTCCCAAACAAATAAAGTTACTGATTACAGATTGATATGAGTTCCCCTCATCCCAAGCATGTACAAAACAAAACCGCAAGTAAATCCGGCTTTTGATATTTACAAAACACGCAGGAAACGAGAATCATCCGCCACGGGTGCTGGCAGTTTTGGGCCACATCACGTTATTTTCGGATGGGGTTACAGGGGCTGTAAACAGCTAGATCATTTCAACCCCAACGAAATTAGTCTCTTAATCCAATTACACTCACTTTTAAATACATTTTTACTATTTTCATGTCATTCGTTCAATTAGGATCTTCCTCGCATATCATAATCTAACCGGGGGTCGATACTACTACTTTGAACGGAATACTGAATGTAACGAATAGGTACTATTAAGAAATTTATTTACTTCCGAGGATTAAGATTTGTTTTCATAATGCGAGTTTGACAAACAATGTCAAGATGTAAACAATAAATGCAATTAATGTTTACTTTAGTGAAGAAAAAAGTCATTGAAATTAACAAAGAACAAACGAAATGCACTTTATCAAACTATTTGCCAAGACCTGTACAAATGTAGATTTGGGAAGCTGAAAAAAAATCGTTGTTTTATACATCCTTTGGACTCTTGAATCCACGTTCACCTCTAATGGCATATTAAACCATTGGAATTTTCGAACGTGGGCAAATCTGAGAATTTTTTGAGGGGAGGTTTTACCAACACTATTAGATGATGTTCCACTGCAACAACGACAAAGGATGATTCTCCAGGTTGATGGATGCCTCCACACAAATTTTTGCAGGTGAGACGTTATTTGCGGGATTGGTGAATAGGACCTATTGGCCTCCTCGGTCACCCAATTTAACTCCACTTGACTATTTTCTGTGGGGGGACATTTAAAAAAACAGTGTCTACGCCAAGCATAACCTAGCAACCTCAATTGAAGAACTGCGGCAAAGGCACTCCATCTCCCCTGACTCTATCGCCCTGAGCACCGGTGAAGAATGGTTAAACAGAGCACATCTTTGCATCTTTACGCAAAGCAGAGAATTCGAATATGAAATATGATTAATAAATATCAATCCAAACGACTGGTGTTTTTTTCCAAACATTTTGCCATAACTTTGTCATTTTTTGGACACTTCAAAATCCGATTGAATCGTTGTTTTCAGCAAAAAACCCGTTTAAAATAATGTGTGTCGTGTCGTATTTGAAATTTTGAAGTTGAACTGGGCCCTGAGGTACCCTGTATAATTTTTCTACTAAAAAAGGTAAAAATTTGAGAATAAACTAAAAAATATTAAACACGTATTTTTTGTATAACGTCACTGGTTAAAGAGAAATTCAGCTGGGCCATCTAAAAAGGTCACTTTGTATACATTTAAAATCCCTATAGCCCTGAGGTACCCCAACACTACACAGGCCCGACGATATATCAAAATATTGCCTATAAACGTCAAGCCTTCTGCAAATGAAAATTTGCTTATTTTATCTTATTGGTACATAACGTGCACATAAGCGGTCGCTCTCTAGTCAGAAGGTCATTCCTGTATGACCTATGTGCAGTCTTGTCAGTATGGCTTTTTCAATATTATCATATTTCAGCGCAGTAAAAAAGGGTCTCTAGTAATTGCATGTTTTTTTATAAAGTAATTACCTCTGGATTCTGATTCCTTGCTTTTAGACAAACGTTTACAGATCTACACCAAGTT